TTTAGCTTGTACAGTATTTATTTGTGTAGAATAAATGTATATATACTTCCCCTTTTCCCCTATAGAGGTGTCTGCCTGAAAGTTTCTCTTCGGTGTTGAGATAAAATTGTGGGAAGGAGTGGGGAAAGCCTGGAAATTGGATTTTGGCTCAAACCACCACAACAACTAAGAAGATGGGACTGATTTGGGGATTAAGGCAAACAGTCAGAAAAGCTTTGTATCTCTCTGGCCACAGTACCTTAGCACCAACAAAAGCTTCCTTGTGTCCCGTTCCTCAGTAACTCTTGTTATTCAACACTTATCTTGAATTAACTTCTCCCAGAAGGCACTGGTGACTCTGCCTTTCTGCTCCCCTATCCTAAAGCTCTCTGTTTTAATTTGTTTGCATACTAAAGCTAGTAGCTGATAAGAAAAAGCAAGTTTCTGCTCTGTCTGTGGGCTCTCCAGGCACATGACTGCCCTCCCCTCCTGCCTGGTAGCGGCAGATAATACTCTAGAAAGTGTTTTTCTGCACTGCCAGGGTAGGAGAGAGATGATAGCTTTGCTCAGTCCCCCCACTTTTTTCCCTTGCATTGAGGGAGTCACAGAGACAGCTGAGGGGTCCCTGCAGTGCCCTAAAACAGGGTCTTGCAGGACAGGGTGCTTTTTGTCTCAGGGACTTCTACCGAGGGACACCCACCTCTCCTTGAAACACACTCACTGCAAATGTCTGGCTCCCTAATATCTGCATTTATTTCCTTGCCACATCCTTGACTTTAACACCTCCTTTTTTTCCTTCTTGCTAAAAAGGAACAGTCTCTTGAAAGCACTGTCATGCTTAATTCCCTAGTGGAAATGGTTGAAGGTGACTTTTCTGGAGTGACGAAGTCTTGCTGCTTGAATTCTTGTGCTTTTCTGAGAGGGATATTTGCTTAAGTGTCTTGAAACAGAACTTCAGTAATCACTTTATGTTCTTAAAGTAAAGACTATACATAATGAAGCTTTAATACAGCTTTCTTCATATACAATTATAGATGACAGATTAAATAATTTGTAAACCTAACATTTTTCTTTTCAGATAGTTAAGATATGCAATAGCATTTTGTTAGTTGATTAACATTTGGATAGTAGTGTATTTGGAGCATTATGAAAGTGAAATTTTGTCAGTAATAAATCAGCAACTATAATCAGGGTTTGTTACATTTTTTTGGGTGAATAGGGGCCCCATTAAGTCAGGGAGAATTTTACCATTATCTTCAATAAAATCAGAGTTTCATTCTCCCATTGCAAAGGACCTTTAACAGCCACCTATAATCTTGTCATAAACTCTGTTTGAGTGAAACTAGTCTTACAGGGATTTTATTAAGACAGAATGATGGTGGAGGAGGAAAGCTTTTAAATGCTTTGGTTGAGAAGAACTGCCTTTGAGAAATGCTTGTGCTGTGACAAAAAAATCCTGGTATAGGGGCTGTCTCTAGCTCAGATAACTGTACTTCCTTGCACACAGCAAGATCATTCTGGAGTCACCCTATTTAAAAGGATTAGGCAAAGGCTGTTTCAAAGGATACCAAGGCCTCCTTTCTTTTTAAATAAATGCAAACTGAGAATAATGTTATTATAATCAGCTGTGTAAACATGCAAAGGGTACCTAAGCTTCATCACAATGTTAAAAGTCAAAGTGTGCCAGTATCACCCCACATGATATTTGAAGGAGTAGATGCAGATATCAATTTTTTTGTGAGTCCTGAAGCTATGATCTGAATATATAGTTTGTACTCTGCACCAAGGAGCAAATCTGTTTGCAGTGACCCATGCTTCCTGCTCCCAGGGTGTAAGAGATGGCTGTTGTGCTGCTTTTATTTCTGTATGCAATAGAAAATCCAGTCTCTTTGAACCAGGAGTCAGTTTAGTGACTTTGTTTTTAGGTCCTCACACAATAATGAAAAGCAGCTCCTGCTTGGCACAGAACACCCTGCAGAAATTCAGGGTAGTGACATTTGTGCTGTGTATGAGAACTCATAGTCAAGTTTTCTTAGAAGTCTCCTGTCAAATATTTTGTCACATTGGCCATTACAAGACACTTCAAAAGCCTCTTGTAATGCACACTTTTGTAGGAGGCATCTAAGGAGAGTGTTCAGTGAGCACTTTAAAATCACCTAAGAGGCTCAACTATAAGGTTTCTAACAGCATGTAACAAATAGCATAGCCAGTTCACTTGTTCAAGATGGCCAGACTAGGAGTGGTCCTAGGATGGAGGCACTGGAAAAGGAAAGAAGTATGCAGATATCACTGATAGAGAGCAAAAAGAACTTTTTCATCCAAAGAATTTGTGTTAACGAAAGGAAAGGCTGTACCCAAGCACATTCACAACTGCTAAACTTCGTTCTCTCTACCTCCAAGATAGACCCAGAAGACTGCAGCAGGCATCATCCTTTTAAGAGATGTGCCGCCTTTTGCTGGATGAGAAATTCGGAGGGGACAGAGGAGTAGGCCTGGCACCAGAAGGATTTTTGGGGCTTCTGAGTCAGGTAGTGGCAGCCAGATGCCCTCCAGCCTTATCTGCTACCCTTTCATTTAAGACAGGCAAGAATAATTTCTGGAGGGACTTAATTAAATTCCACTAGGTCACACTCTCTGTACAAATCATCTTCTCTTCCACATTTACAGTTGATGAATGTCTACAGCCTTCCTCATTATACACAAGGGTTATTTCCAAAGATGCAGGCAGCAGGATACAATTCATAGGACAGTCACATGAAACAGAAGGTCTTATGCATAATTCTGCACTGAATCTTCCTTCACTTCCTGATTCTACACCTGTTGTCTTTTTAAGATGGATATAGGGATCCCCTCCTTCGATGTTTGCAGATTACAAGCATGTATAATAAAGTGTTGCATCCTTTGAAATGACATGCTTAAATTGTTGGTAGAAGAAGAGACAGGAGATGCAGTGCAGAAAAACATGCCAGCTTTCTTATGGGCTCTTGGAGAAAGGTTTCTGAATTTATCAAGAAAATGAAATTTGCAGTGTTAAGCATGGAAAATATAACAATGCATTGGAGGGATGGTAACCTTCCTTTCAAGTACCCATTAGAGTGATTTTTATGAAAAAGATGCAAGGTCTGGACAGGATGCTACTAGAACAAGCTTGTAAAATTCATCCACACAGCACTCTTGGTGACTTTGGCTTTGCTGGCTTTGATGCCCAGGGGCGTTCTCCACGTCAGACAACTCCATATTTGAGTGATCTTAAAATTTCTTTTACAAAAATAAAGCCCAAGGACAGTTTTGCCTAAGGACCGGTATCTCAGACTTCAGGAACTTTTTTCTATATTGTAACCTCCTGTCTGTTCTTACAAAATGGTACACTATCTCTGTTCTGAACTGGATTTTTTTTCATATGCTTTTTATGGCATATTATCTTTAAATTTTCTATTACTGTGTGCAGTTTGCCTTTTTCCTTCCTGTTTCCCAGCTTATCCTCATAATATGATCTCTAGCCATTGATACTATTACATTTTTCTGTGATTATTTTGCCATTTCCAGCCTTTGGTAAAGCTCCAGAATTTCTCTGTGTTGGCAGAGAGTGGAGCTGTTTCCCCCAGTTTATTTTCTGTGTAGCTGGAGTGCCCCAGCAAGGCATCATTGTGTTCTGTTGAATTGGACTGGCTGAATGCTGTGCCATCTGTACACGGACAGATTGTTACCCTTTACAGTCCCCTTGGATAGAAGTTCCTGTAGCACTTTGGGGTGCTAGTAGGGAGTGGTGAGTATATATAGCTAGGGAGTATGGCTCTGTGTTGCTTTTGTGATAGGAAAGTGTACTTTGCGTTCTGGTGGTAGGGTGTTGTGGATTTCTTTGCAGATTTTTGCTCCCCAGGCAATAGTTTTCTTAGGAACCAGCCTGCCCTCCAGCAGAGCCCCAGCACCAGGCAGTCTGTAAGGCTTTGGGTGTCTCTGATCTGTTGCCTCTGAGGTGGAATAGCATAAAATGAGAAAACCATAAGATTACTTATAATGTAAAATGAGATTTGCATCCTCACTCTCCTGAGCAAACTGTGTATTTTGCAAATATCAAAATGGCATAAACAAAACAGTTTTTCCTTGTGCTAGAAGTAAGCTTTGGCTCTCTTGATATATTTGATGTATTTGATGCATTTGATATCAGTATAACTGATGTTACACTGCTCAGAAATTTACCTCAGACTTTTTTAGTGTTCAGCTTGATCTGTCAATCATACAGAACATCCATAAGACATGGCTATATTTTCCTAAGAGTTTTTCTTTCCCTACTGCTATGTCCACTCTAGATCAAGTATTTCCACACAGTGGCAAAGTAGTCTAGGATAGAATTGCATCCCTAGGCAATACATTGTCTAGGGAAAGTCACCCTGTTGTTTTTTCCTGACAAGATGCCCAGGTAATTCACAGTGTGTTGAACTGAAATGGACTACCCCAATACCATGTGATTTCCACAGAATCTAACTATAGTGCCATATAAAGTGATGTATATATGTCCTTGATGATATATCACTTTACATATAGTTATAGATAGTTATATTATGTATTTTTATTTGTAATTATTTGTTTTATGTATTTAAATGCTTACATCTAAAAGTCAATGGTTTTTTATGTCTGTAACAGTGCTATACGCAGGAGTCAAATTCCTAGTCCAGTTGCAGTATGTACAGAAAGGAGATAAGTATAAGGTGTGTGGCAGAAGCTCCATCACAGGAGTTTCTTTGCGTACTAATAAGAAAGAATGATCTTATTGGGACAGCTTACATAAATAAAATCATTTCACGTGTCTCAGGGTTGCTAGATAAGGCCTATGGCATGCACACACTGTGGTCCCCCTGGCTTATCTCACATTCAATTTAACTGGGGGTTGCTGAGTTTTCAGCAGGAACAAGGAGCCTTCAGGAAAAGCTTGCCTGTGTCAGCACTCATGTATTGTGGTGAGGAGCCTAAAGAGAAGGTGCAGGGGAAAAAAATTATGTTTTCTTTTTACTCTCCCACAGATTGACCATCTCTGCTGAATGTCCCATGCAGCTTGAAGATTTCCCCATGGATGCACATGCTTGCCCATTAAAATTTGGAAGCTGTAAGTTCTCTTCTGAAATAAGAAACAGAAAAATGTCTTGTTTTCTGGCTTTTCATATTCAGCCGTGTCTCATACAGATCTTTCACCCTCCCCCCCAGTACTCCCCTTTTAATGCTGCTCATTAGCCCCCCCAATCCACTCCCCTTGCTGCTATCCCGTTGCTCCTTTTCCATGACTATGCTTTGTCTGTGCCTGCTGCTTTTCAACTCATGCTTGCATGCTCCATGATAAACAGTGAGCTGATGGGTGATATGTCTTATGTATCCACATCAAGTGTAACAGCCACTGTTAGATGGAGTTGTAGATGCAGACAGCTAAGTTGTAACTTGGTTTTACATATGTAGTAAAACAGAGCTTTCACTGGCCTGATCAGATTGATGTGCAGTCATTGTGGTATTTATATGAATCAGGCTTCAGTGCAATATCTACATTGCATATATTAAAAGAGATCTAGAATATTAAAAGAGGAAATATCTTTCCATTTGGCTTTAATAAATCCAGTCCTGTATCCTGTTACATGATGTTGTATACACATGTATTTGTATATATGCACACATTATTCTAAATTGTATGCTGAATGATGATTTTTCCTCAATTCCAAGCCTCTAATCCACCACACTGTTGCCTTGCCAGAAGCTTATTTTAAAAATAACCTCAGGGAATCAGTTATATTTAAAAACAAAGCTTTTAATTAAAGTACAAATGAGGCTACTACAGTCAACTTCTTTTTTTATTATTATTATTTATTTTGGTAATCCAATCAGAGGTTCCAGGTGCAATCAGTGTATCTGAAGACTTTTGATAATTACCAGGCAAGGCGTTTTGCTAAGCCCCGAAGCCACCTAACTTCAGCATTTTGCAATGTTTTTCAGTTGTATCAATTTAGAGTCACTAATCCTAGCAAGATTAAGCTTTGCTTTTATCGTCTGAATCTGCCCTGATTTAATACTGACTATACATTGTCTTCTAGTGATCATACTAAGAAGTAAAAACACTGTTTAGAATAACCATTACCAAATTACCAAACTTAAGATAAACTGATTTCCTTTCCCTCTTGCAATCCAGGTAGACCCTGTTTCATCTGAATGTATTTTACAAGGTCACTGTAGGTACAAGAGTGTTCAGTGACTTCAGCAGCATTAATTTACAGCAAAGCAAATATAAATCTGAAGGTCTATACACCTTTATACTCAAAAAAAAAAAAATGCAAAACATCTACTTCATTCCAAACTTAAAAAATGGGAAAACATCTCACAGGAAAATGTAATTGTTTGTATATCAGGTTAAACAAAAGCTAAAGGAAAGAATCAATAAGACGAAAAATAAGTTATCCTTCCTAGTGTTACATGTCCTTTACTGTATCAATAGATAAAGTTGAAGTCACACCTCTTGGTCTGTAGTGTAGACTATAGGACTGGGATGTTGCATAATTTTATGAAATCTTGCAAAATATGCAGTATAAAACTAAAAGATACATATTTAAACAAAGTGCCTGATGCAGCAGAGATCTAAAGCTCAGCCTTAAAGTTAAATGGATGCTTCCATGTATTATTAGATTAGGTGCAGAAAGGTACAGGTTCTCACTGTCCATATAGTAAAGACACAAAAAAAAGCACCCCAACCAAACATGCAAGTGTATGAGATAATGTTACAAGATAAGCTACAAATGCTTAGAAGGAGTACCCAGTAATGTCTTAATGTAATTATATGTTCTGCTTGTGCCAAATGTGTTACATATTAATCACTTCTTAGCACACAGGTAATTTTAATCCATGCCAAAACTAGCACTGGAAGATTGTATTTTAGGCATTGAGAGGTGAATACAGTTTTAGTTTATGCTCCTTGCCATGCTCAGAATACAATCCTAGAGTACATTTCATAAGCTGTTACAAGTCACCTTTAAGTTCTTCCACAGTGTGTAGACATGGAGCCATTTGATCTGTGCTAGTCAAACCAGTGGCCTCTGCAGTAAGTAAATACATAGGAACAAACTATAGACAGTCTTTCAGCCTTGGGAATTTCTGTATTACTGATCTGACCACTCACTAGTAATTTACTGGAATTTAATATGCAGATGTTTGCACAAGTAGCAGCCTGTAAATCAGGGTTTATTGAACTAGCCCAGATGTATTTTAGGAGAATACAATATTTATTCCCTAATTACAGCAGTATGGGTTTACATTGAGTCATCTCCAGGTTTGCAGCAAGACAAAGCCTGCAGCAGTATGATACACAAGCACGTACACTTTGTTCTTTAGCTTTCCTCCATCTTTCCCCAAAGGTTTCTTTTTAATGGTCTTCCTTCCAAGAAGGATTTTGAAAAGCGTCAAGGAATAGCATCAAAGTAAATGTTAAACACATTATCAATGGAGATGGGAGGGTGGAGAAGAGACTAGTGCTAACCAGTCTGAGGGTAGAGAGAGCAGGGCAGTGAAATGAAACAGCCGGCACACAGGCGGATTGTCAGCAGAAAGGATGCTGAGAAGTGATCAGTGTCACAGCAGAAGCAGGAGCAGGTTATAAATTTTCTGGTTGCGTGACCGTTCACCATGCTTGCTGTAATTCCGCAAGCGAAAGGCAAAAACGTGCTTGATGTTTCCTTCATTATTAAAGAGAAGGAATACTAATCTTGCTCACAGAAATAAAGGTAAATGTTGAATTCTTATGTCCCATTTGACTGGTTTCTTGCTATATTAGAATTGTGGGAGGTTTTATGGGCCTAGGAAACATTAGATGTAGCAACAGAGTATTTTGTAGAAAAAATTAAAAGGAAGGTCAAATACACAAAAAGGGATACAAAGTTACCTGTGCACACCACCAGCCTAGATACCTGCCAGGCAGTTCAAATGCTGACTATAGTAGTATTTTTTTAATGCTCTGTGGCACATCATGAAAAGGAAAGAAGTTCAAGGACAGCTTCTCACAAACTGAACAGAGCAGATTTTAGTTGTCCTTCTCTTAAGTACAATGCCCCGCTGCTCAGAGATGTCAAGATCAGGTGGATCTGACAGGCTGCTCCAAGAGATGCATGTATGCAGGTACTTTTCCTTTGGGCTTGTATCCCTGCTATGAGTCAGGACACCTGTAGAAATTATCTTGCAGAAGTATCATTTAGAGGGAACTGGGGATGGATGGTGCATGAGCACAGGCTCTAGGGTATCTGCAGCAGGCTCTGCTTCCTTTGAATCAGGAGTACAATCTGTTCATTACCTCATGGTAGCATGGGAAGGATGCTGTTTTCTTCCATGGCCAAGTTTATTTTAAACTTTACGTTGCAATTCTAGTGCTGACCTGTATTCTAAATAACTTTACTGGTCAAACAGGATCTGATGAAAATTCCTGATGCCAGACACAGTTGTACGGGGAGCACCTTAGCCTAAGAAATTTGTCCTTACCCCTAAGCTATTTCTGGTGTGTGGGGGAGGAATTAGATAAAATAGCAAGGACATTAAAGCTTCACAGCTTTAATGTTTCACCTCTTCCACTGATGGGCCCTAAGAGTACATTAAGAATATCATTTAGTACAGATTCAAAATGCCCATGTGTCACCAGGTAGGTAAGCATCGTTATCTCTAGGGCAGCTGAGACAGAGAAGTTAATTGACTTTATGTAAGGTCATGCAACAAATCAATGTCAGAAAAAGGATTAGACTCAACTTCTTTGGTTGGAGAAGCAGATGTCTAATCCACTAGACCATGAAGGCCTCTGCCCAGGCAACTGACTTAACTCCTAAATCTCATTTTACTCATGTGTTAATTATGTCGGTGTTGCCCTGAAGATGAATTAGTTAATTGCTGTTGGTGACCATTAACCGGTGCTTTGACAATGTCAGATACTGTAAGGTGGTGTCTATTTATGGCGACTGTCTCTTGAAGACACAGTGTCCGAGTACACGGAATTATGAGATCTTGTATTGTGGAATGGACAAATGCCTGAGGCAGCTGCCCACTAGTCACTCAGCAGCAGAAAAAAAAAACAACAAAACCTCCGAAACCAAAACCTATGATTTTTAGAGTAAGTAGAGAGTTTAACGAATATTCTGAAAATAATGAGATCCCCAAGCTCATGAACAGAGGAAAACCAGGCCTGGTGTTTGTTCCTGATGAATTTTTAGTCAGACATGAAGATGGTAAAGGTTGATCACTGTTGATCAACAAGGGAACTTGATAACTGTTTATGAGGAAACAGCACCAGGTACAGTTTGTAGCGTCTGGAGAAAGCAGTTAACATGGTTTATGTACATCTTCCTTTTTAACAGCTCAAACTAAGTCACAGTATGACTTTTGATAAAGGAAAGTGCACAAGCTATATCTGTAGCAGGAAGCATGCTCAAATTATTTTCCTCTAAGAAGTCTGGTGAAGTCAGAATAATAAGTAGACAGTAACTTCACCAGTATGCCAGGATTTTATTGCAACACAATATTAAGGCACTCAGTGTTCACAAACTGTCCATTCACCTGCAGCTGCCGAGAAATTTCTGCAAAAAAAAAGTATTTAAGGAAAATTTCCCCGATGATATTTCCTTATAGTGCAGAGAAGGCACCGAGGTAAAAGCACCTACAGGGCATTTCTTGATTTTATGCTTCCTTCCATTATCATCTGCAAGAGCTGCAGGAAAACTGCAGGGGTTAGAGGGAGAACTTCAAAACAGAATCCTTCTAAACAGACTCTAATTCTCTATTAGTAAAATGTGATAAAGAATGTATCCAGCTTAACACAAACCTGTGTGTAAGAGGTTTGTGTTATAATACAATTAAATGAATAAGAAATAAAGACAAATGTTAATTTTAAGAGACTTTGAAAAGGAGGAATGGCTCTTTGGAAGGTTTTCATAGGTTGTTCCCAGGGACAGCTGGAACTCCAGTCTCATGTGTGGAGGCAGAGCTTTTCTGTTACTCATCTCTTCAGATGATCAGAAGAGGCTCCTGAGTCTATTGCTGAGAGCAGAGATAGGCAGCACAGCTTGTTGACTCTGCTGGGATGTGTTGTGCCTTTTTTAA